AACCATCATGAACCCGGAGGCTGAGAGGCAAAGGAAACCGACGACTCTCCAGAGATTCTGAAAGGTCAACTTTTAACAGCAGTGTCATCAGATGAACTTCACGTGCCCTCTTTATCCCCCCGACAACAAAAGGCCTCTAACTGCTTAACTACTGAAAATATCTTTATGGAGAACAACTCAAAATGGATTTAAATGTTTTATTGAGATGTTTTCCTCTGACTACACAAACACAAAATGATTTATAATGTTGTAGTGCAGTGAGCTTTCAGAAGTACCCTACTTATAGTGACTGCTTTGGGAAGGAATCTCATATTCAACAACCTTTTGCACGGTTTGACATTTTCACATGAACTAGAGAAAAAGGAAAGCCTCTTTCACACATGCACTCCTTGAAAAAGTCTAGAAAAGATCAGGTCAGTCTTGTCCTGAAAATGACCAAAGTTGCCTTTTCACATTATGTACAGAAGTCAGACAAATCATGTGCGTGCATGATCATTATTATGTATGCACAAGTTAGACAGACATCTTGTGCACACAGGATATTAACCTATAGCATGCACAGCGTATATCTTATGCACACAAGTTACTGTAGATGATAACGTGTTGGAACAAGAAGATAATTATCTTGTGTGCAGACTCCATATGAGATTTTCCTTGTCAGACGGAGTGTGGGTCTTAAGAGGAAAGATATGACCTTAAAGGAGCCGTGGAAGTTGAAGCGTAATGTGTACAACATATCCAAGGTGGCAGACAAAGCAACAGAGTTCAATAATATGATGACAGTTTTTTACCATCATATCATTATCACATTATACATACATTATCAATGAAACGATGATGATGTTGGCGAACAGATCATGGCATGAAGAAGCTTCAGTCACGCCTGGTTTCAGGATTTAGATATCACAAACCTTTACCACTTGCTTGCAGTGAATTTTCCTGAGTATTTCCTGCTGTGTTTTTATACATCTGCTCATCCCTGACTGCTTGCGGATTAATTACAAGATGGCTGGAAGAAAAACATCTGGATTAAGTCAGGGTGAAAAATGTATTTGTTTGCACTCACACCTGAAGATTTTTGGGGAAATGTCGAGTTCTGTGCATGTGTGAATGTAGCTGATTGAGGCCTAAGTCCTAAAGTAACACCATGTATCTGCATGTTGAGTTGTGCCAGTATTTAGCACCTCTTTGGAACACCATACCCCTTAAACTGTGATCACTTGTGTAGTATTACACTCCTGTGCAACATCATCCTTCATTACATGATCCTCTCACGCCGTGAACAAAGGAGCTGAACACTCATCGGACTAATGACGCTATCCTCTGACCGGCAGGTAGCTCTCATGATTTCCTCTTTTGTGCACCGCTGAAAGATTTACCATTTAGCACCATCATGCTTTATCCAGAAAGAGATCAATTGATCCAGCAGAAGAAGACCACAGTTAATGGCTGCACGGGACGTAAAGTTTCAAAATGAAATAAGTCTTTGGAAAGTGTATGCTGTGATTCTTAGTTAGCTTAAAAGCTTAGAATTAAATTCAACTTGCGGCTCATTTTTAGGGAAGCCTGAAGCAGACATTCATTTTATCCTTCTCTGTTCCTGTGATAATGAGTACTTTACAGTCGTTGTTTTTTAAATCTCGACTAATTTATCTCAAGATACAATTCTACAATTCACTTAGCAGAAGCTTTCAGAGAGTAATTACAACACAAGCGAGGATCTAAAGAAAAGCAAACAACGTCAGTAAGTGTAAACGAACAGCTTCAAGTCGAGGTGCTGACAGGAAGTGCACAGAGGCAAAGCACGACACGGACAGCTGTTAGCTATATAGAGATAACAACATGAAGGATGGTGCGTTTGTAGAATAGATCAATCAATATGTCGGATGAAAAGAACATATAAACAAATGTTTCTTTGGGATTTGTCTAATAACTTTTCTTCAGCGAGGGAGCTTTGATAAGGATGGTCTCAATATTTATGTAGCCTATGATTTGATCAAAAGAACGTATGATCCGGATCCCTATGTGACCTTTGACCTCACCAGAGGTGCTGTGCTGAGCTGACTATGTCACATATTAGAGAGTTTCTTCTGTGTGATCTGGGTGAGGTAGAAAATGAAATGCAATTTTTGTTTTTCCATCCGTTCTGTCATTCTCTGAGACGTCAGCTTTTCTGTTAAATGTCTGAAGACAGTCCAGATTTAGTTTTCTATGTCGGATGAAGACAGGACAGGGGGTGAAGTCAGAAATTGGAGAAAGAGAGAGAATGGGGAATGGCATGCAGGAAAGGAGCCACAGGTTGGTTTTGAACCCGGGCCGCCCGCTTGGAGGACCACAGCCTCCGCACACAGGGCGCGTGCACTAACCACCGGGCTAACGCCGTCCTCTCAAAGTGTCATTTTTTTTGCAGAGATCATGAGTTCCATTAAAAAGAACTGAAAGCTTGTCTGCACAGTTTGGCCCTGTTAGTCGTCTAACCAGACTGCTGTGACTCACAGCTCGGGGAGACGGAGGCATCGGGACGGCCTGTGTAATGTGAGAGAGCGAGGCCGGATCAGATATCGACCACACACATCCATTAAGCAAGATGTACACTTCTCTTCTCATGTGCTCCGACTTCTACCTCTTTTTTTTCTCCCTCCTCTGGATACCTGCAACCGTTTAATCACGCTGTCTTCTCGTTGTCCTCCCTTTCTGTTCCAGCGGCGTCCGTCTCCATTCCTCATCCTCCTGTGTGTTGTGTTCTTTATGTCGTAAGATGTTTAAACAATCGTCACCGACAATCTGTCTTCCATCCCTCCCTGATCGTCTCACCTTCCTTTTATTCTAACTCTATAGTTTCTGTAGGTGTAGATTCTCTTTCTCCTCTGTGTTTAACGCCTGTTCCTGTCATTTGATAACATCCGCTTCTCTTCATCTATGTGTGTTACAGAGGACTCTTTTGTCCTTCTCTTTGTTACACAAAGGGTGTCTGAAATACACCATTCATCTCTGCTTCTTCTGAAGGTTTCTTCTTTCTCTGAATTCTGTTTTCATCAATGTCTAGTTTTTACATTAAATCAGGTTTAAACCTTTATGGATCAGTTAGAGAAAGGCTAGTTATAGAGAACCTACGGTGGCTGGGAAGTGCAAAGCAAAATTACAGAATGTGAATCACAAATTTACATTTTGAAAAACAAAATTTCCGTCAAAACAAAGAAATTGACCCCTCACCCAATCACTTCCGGGTCAATTCCTGCATTTGGTACGTTCCCTTTCCGTCAAATTCTGTCGTTTGTAAATTTGTGTGGGGACCGGTCAAAGTGTTCTGCCACTTGTACTTTTGTCTCAGCGCTTGTAAAAGTGTTTCACATCTTGTAAATTTGTTTTATCAAACGTAAATTTGTTTTGTTCTTGGTAAAAGTGTTCTGGTTTTGTAATTTAGTTTGACAAAAAAAGTTTTTCAAGGGGAGTTGGTGGCGCAGTGGTTAGTGCGCGCGCCCCATATATGGAGGCTCCTCCAAGCGGGCGTACCAGGTTTGAATCCCACCTGTGGCTCCGTTCCCACATGTCATTCCCCACTCTCTCTCTCTCTCTCCCCAATTTCCAACTCTATCCACTGTCCTGTCTCTCCATTAAAGGCACAAAAAGACCAAAAATAAATCTAAAGAAAAACTTGTGAAAGTGTTTCACACTTTGTAATTTTGCTTTGAACTTCCCAGCCACCGTAGAGAACGGCTTTTTGTAGTGAACTCACCTTAAAAAGACTCAAACAATAAAGAACCATACATATAGAGTGTATTGGGGCTGCACGGTGATGCAGTGGTTAGCGCTGTTGCCTCACAGCGAGACGGTTCCTGGTTTGAACCCTGTCGGTCAGGTGGCGTCTGCATGCTCTCCTCGTACATGCAGCTCAATCCTGTTACCTTAAACTGGTTTCATCATTTGGAGCATGAGAGCAAGATGATCAACTAGATTGGTGTGTTTAAGTGAACAAGATATTTTTTCCAGCCCACCACAGCTCCACCTCTTTGCCTGCTTCTCTGAGATTATACATCCATGTTGATAGCTGTGTGTACAGACTCAGAGGTGAGTGTACCAGCTCTTAGAAAGACATCACTAAATCTGAAACGTTGTAGGAGGAAATACATGGAAACACAAGAAAATAAGTTTGGGAAGAAATACTAAACGCACCAACAGCTCCACATGGACACCTTCTGTCATGTGACCCATACCGTCTTTTACTTCTTTTATATTTAATGTATAGACGTGTTTGATTTAAACCTTTGGCAGAGTCTGAGATGTCACATCACTGTAATAAATAAAGTTTATTCTTTTTAGGAAAACAAAATAAATATGAATAAGTTAATAAAATAAAAGCTTTCATAAATACATTTCATACATGTATAATATGTTCCATGTTACAGATGCCCTTCATGGTAGACAGAATGAGTCTGCTGATTCTTCCATTGAGAAACACACCAGCACTGTGAGAACTGTTAATAATCCAACGAGCTGAAAAAAAAATCCTGATATGAACATATTGTCAAAGTGTATTGAAACCCCCTCATCTTCTTATGAACTCCTCTACTGATGGACTCAAGGCAAATGTGGCTTCACACATAAACAGTGTTGGGCACGTTACAGTCACTACTATCAAAAGGTAACTGAGTGTTGTAGTAGTCGAAATCTGTCTTGGTCTCGAGAACACTTTTTGAAGGTTTCAAAATCATTTTTCTTGTCTCTGCCTCAGACAAGGCGGACTCCGGATTTTAAATCAAGACCACCACTGACAGGCTGTTTTTTACAAAGTCATTACTGTGATTAGAAGTAAACCCCCTCTTTCTAAAAGAACAACTAATGTCAATTCATTTGTAGTTTGATTTGTATCCCCCGGTTACGGCTGCAAACTTCCCGATGTTACGGTCTAAGTGAGCGTCACGCGTGATATTTATGGTCTTGGTGTTGTCTCATCTTGCCCTGCCTTGGTCTTGATCCCTTAATGTCTTGGTCTTGTCTCGGTCTTGGAGCAGCCTGGTCTCCGGTCTGTCTTGGTCTCGGTTAGTGTGGTCTTGACTACAACACTACTGCATTATAAAAGTAACTATTTACTTGGGAAAGTAACTTAAGCGTTACTTTTTTAATTTTTTTACATCCATCCTCATGTTGATGTTCACATTATTTAGTGTTGCAGTTTGTAGGTATTTCACTAATTAGATCTCTGAAGACGACACACTCAACAGTTGATATGAAGCACGTCGCAGACAACATACCTGTCTATGTCTATAGTCCGGTTTACAGATTGTGGAGAAGGCGGGGCTTTAAATCCTTAAAAGTCTGCTGAGCTAACGTGAACTGAACCTGGGTCTCGGGTGTCTGCAGCAGCGGGCTCTCTAGAAGCGGTTTGTTGTTTAGCTCGGTGCTTTGTTCTTACAGTCAGTTAACACGAGCAGGGGGAAAATAATGTCGCTATTTCTGAGACAGAGACTTCACGGCTGAATGATCGCCTGCCTGTGTGTAACCTGGCACGCTGAATCAATATCAATAAACCTTAATCTTCACATAGCTTAAAGTAACGAGTAACGCTGGCTTTTAAATGTCAGTAACTGTAACGGCGTTACTGAATCTGGAAAGTAACCAGATACGTTTACTAGTTGCCGCAAAAAGGAGTTCAGTCCATAACGGTCAGAGAGTTTCCTGTTAGTGAGAAAAATGTGGAGGGAAAAAAAAAAACACTCAACATCAGTCAGAATGAACGTAAAAATCAGACAAAGCTCGACACCAGTTCACGCTCTCTACACACAGCCACATCTTCTGGCAGAGTGTTTCCTCACGGTGTGGTAGACGAGGTTGTCGTCCAGGAACGAGAGGTCATCGTCGAACGCTATTGGTCGACAGCAGGCCTGAGGGGGCGGGTCTTTGGCGGGGAGCCTCCTGTTGTGAGCGAGGTTGTAAAGGATCTTGTCGTAGTTTGTCTCCGACTTCCTGCAGGGTCCCGAGCAGTACCTGAAGATCATTTCCTCGCTGGAGCGGTACCCGAGTCCGAGGTCGGTCACGTTGAGGTGGATCTGTTTGAGCATGCAGCCCTGACCTCGTCCCTTAGTTCTCACTTTCCTCCCCGTCTCCCCCCCTGTAGCCCCCAGTCGTCCTCCAGTCCGGCTCTGATGACTCGCCCCCTTCTTCCTCCCCCTCCTGTGTCGAGCCCGGCTGCTCGAGTCCTCTTCGGAGGGAGAGAGGGCGGCGGGCGAGGAGGTAGATGAGGACACGGTGGATGAAGAGGAGCGGCGTATTCGACTGATGGTCACCCTGATGAAGTCCACCACGTCTTCAAATTCCTCCTGTGGGGGCTCCTCCATGATGTCTGAAACACATGCAGAGAAACGGGATTCTTTCAAGGAAATGTTTGGTATTCCAGCACATGTTGTTTCACTTTAACACCTCAAACTGACAGTTGGACCGTACAGTGTTATGTCAGATATGTGCAAATGGTACAACAATGTTTTTTTTCCATGCAGAGAAATTCCATTCAGACTGATTCATCCAAGTTACAAATGGATCCCATCCTTATTTATACAACAGGATTTATATGTTTTAAAGCACTGAGGCATTAAAGGAACAGCAGCAACTCGCCGTGTAGCATATAACACAACACCAAAATGATTCACCAATATCTGCATCACTGGAATATAAATCTACAAGCTTCCTATTTGTGAGGCTTTGCCAATGAATTGTATATGATTTGGTTTAAAGCTGCAAGTCAGACAAATTATGCGATTTTCAGTCTTCACATTTGCCTATTTTAAATATAGGGACAACTATTTTTTTTTTTACAATTTAGCATTTTATAAACTAAACAGTTATTCAATTAGTAAGAAAATAATTCAAAATAGAAAATACTAATTAGCATGTTGTGTGAATGCTGTGGAAAAGAGAGGTGGGCATAAAGTTATGCAGTTAAAAAGGTATGAAGTTGTAAAATGAGGCAGGCCAGTTAAAGTCAGAGTCCAGAATGAGACATTTCTGCAAATATGTCGATGACTGGAACTGGAACTGGACACCACATTCAGCCACAACATGCAAATAGAGAGTGGCTGTTTCTGCATATTTTCAGCAGTTCATATAAAATCTCTTTTAGAAGACTAGAACAAGTAATGAAATAGAAAGGATCCAAGAGTAAGCCAGTCTGCGGAGTACACACTCCATGGCACTCCATACAGACGACAGACGCGTAAAATTCTCACCTCCAGCCAGCGTCTCCTCCCAGTCCGCTGTGTCCGCCCGAGCGCGGCTGATGCCCGGGGAGCTGAGTGACAGACGGATCTGAACCGGTGGGAGCTCCAGGGGACCCTCGGCGGCGCGCCCTCCCCTCTTGGTGGAGCGGAGCAACGAGCTGGCGTGCACCGTGGCGCTCAGCAGTATCAAACAAGTGGTCAGACTATCCCATAACTTCATTGTCCGCTCTAGTCCGGCAGAAGGACATGGCGCGATGCAAGCCACTGAAAACGGTCCAAATGAGTGTAAAGGTTGCCTGTAAACTGCACGCTGTTACCCGCGGGCCAGATGGCAAACGCTATGCAGCGTGGCGCAACATCCAAGGAGACACGAAAGCAAAGGCAGACGCGCAAAACACAAAGCGAGGACTTCCTCTTAAGTTTTTTTTTTTGCAATCCGACGACAATCATCCAATCCTGGAAGACAAAAAAATACAGAAAGAGTCCCAGTTTCCAGTCCTTTACCCGGGTTTACATTCAGTGCGCAAAAATGCAGCGACTTCTGCTCCTTCCCTGTCGACATCAGATCCGACCTGAGGAGGAGGAGAGGTCTAGGAGATGGGGAGTGGTGGTGACGTTTCATGGACCATCCTCTCTGCTCCCTCCTGTCTCCACCCCATGAAGACTTCACAGAGGGATGGAGCCGGAGTGAATGATTGAACTCCAAGGTCCAGAGTTGTTGAGGTTGGAGGAGTCTTGTTATGAAAGAGGCTCAGTGTGTGTGTGTGTGTGTGTGTGTGTGTGTGTGTGTGTGTGTGTGTGTGTGTGTGTGTGTGTGTGTGTGTGTGTGTGTGTGTGTGTACTCAGATGGCTCAGAGAGGGAGAGAAAAGTTTCACACTTTCCACTAACAACACTCCATGTTCCCCCATCCCGCTTTACGGTCGAGGTTGACATTGGATGGGAGGCATGTTTCTAATCAGCCAGTCAAAACAGATTGAATAGACTCAATAGATTAAGTTTGCTACTTAAAACTCTGAAACCATCAAGGGGCTTTGGATTGCTTTCCGTTACAGGAGCTGATGTTTAACTTAAGAGTCCTGCCAGTAGAAAACACAGTTTTGGTTTCATGATCGAAGGTGTAAATATGTTCTTTGTGAATTTCTCTTGGAGCAACTTTCCAGGTCCAGAGGAGCAAAGAAACAGTTTGAAATGATGTTGAAATCAATTGAATGCCCTCTTGCATAATGTAAAAAATAATTAATGACATTATATCACACCTATTCCACAGGGCTAAACAACCACAAAAAAAGTCTGCAGGCTGAGATACATGCAAAAATAATTTATTTAAATAAAAAAATGTGTAGGTGCTCAAAGTGAAAAAGGTGAATAAAAACAGCAGCACATTAGAAGCCCTTCCCTACTCACAGGGCGCCCCTCCCCGTCCATGGAATTTGTGTGCAGGTATCACCTCTGCAATTTTTTAAAAATGTTTTAGTGTACTTATATGCACCCAAGTGTAACCCTTTCAATGCCCTGAGTAGGTGCAGCCTCTCACCTCCTGACATGATATTGTTTAGACACACAACAGACTGTGTATGAATAACTCGGCCTGTGTTCCTGTTAAAAGGCTCAGACTACTGCAAACTGTCTTTGGAAGCGTAGTCTTTGAACAAACAAGAATAATACGATAGTTCCATTCATTTTCAAATCTTTTAAACGCTTACTTTGTACATTTCTTTCCTCCCTTGAGCTTCCAACGTGCCGATACCTGGCAAGGCATTCTGGGAGATTTTTCACAACACTCAGTTTGGAGAGCTCCTCTGAAGAATCAGTACATCCTACCCCTCCAGTTCAACAAGAATCTGGACACCCTACCCCTAGATGTGAACATGCAAATAGTGGGGTTAGAGTTAAAGAAGGGGAAAGGAGTATACTAGGACTGAGCCTGAGTGTCAAAGAGAAAGGTTTGCACCTATTAGCAACATACAGAGGCCCTAAGAGGACATGGGCAGAAGAAAAAACAAAGAGTACATTTCTGTTGCGACTCAGAAACTACCTTGTGTGTGGAGATAACTTGTGTGCACCAGGAACTATCCCAAAAGTATTTTGGTACACAAGAGAGTACATAGCGCTCACAAGATAATATTGCATGCGCATGAGATTTTATGAGCTTTATGGTATTTTGCAATCTCTGTGATACAGAGAAGAGTTTCACGTTCTAATAAAACACTTGCTGATGTGCAATATGGACCTTCTCGCGAGCACATGACATTTGGTGAGGAGCATAGGTTTGTTTCAAGTGTGCATCAGAAACTTATATTTACATTTTTTCCAGTCCATGTCCGTTTATGGGCCCCTTCGTTACACAACTCAAACAAGCTGCAAACGGACTTGAGGAAGGGGAGTCTTTAAAACAAGCATTAATAAGTGTTAGAATGAAACTGTTACCTCTCCTCAACAACAGCCTCCTCCATAATGAATAAATATCGATGGGACTGTAAAATAAATTCCTCTTTTATTTTGCAAACACAACATGCCAAACGCTGATCAAACTGTGCTGCATGATTGAAACCAGAGTGTCGATGAACAGAAGTGATCTGAGGACTTCATGTGCCTGAGTGCTCTCCTTCCAAGAGTAAAGTTAAAAGTTGTTTATTTCACTTTCAGTCCGCTTACTGCACTCTCACAGCTGCTGTGTTTTAAGCCTTTTTGTTCAGGGTAAGCAGAACAAATAGTGTATATCAATCGTAATGTACACCACATGAACATATTTGTGTCAGAGTCCACATGGAATAAGAAGAGATTCACCGAGACGTGGAGATGAAAAGACACTAAAGCATCAGTGCAATCATTTTAAGGCATTAGCCCGATTTAATATATTTCATGCAATCAGCTGGTGGAAGTGTGTTTCGATTTAGTCCATTAAGGATTTGAGTTACCAACTTCTGAGACACATTAAAACTCCTTTTTGTACTTTGTTTTGTTCAAGAAGAAACCACATGTGATTCTAAGAAGAACGTATGCTCAACTTTCTCTGCTACAGTGATTGTTCTGGAAAAAATGCACCACTGTTCTGCTGCACACAAACTGAATTATTCCAGGGAGAAGAGAAATATTCCCCCCCCCCTTTTTTTTTTCTCCAGCTGAAGAGAAAAAGCAGTTTCCTCAGAGGTAGTTAGGTTTACAAGTTTAATGTGAAATACATACTGTATCTGTGTATGCATGTGGATATGCAAATGTGTAAACATGCACAGCTATGCACCCTTGAAGTGTAATGTTTCATGATGAATCATGTTCATGTCAGTGCGTGCACACATGTTTGTCTCATTGTATTGTAATAACTTCACTACTCGGAGCATGCAAAAGCCATCCGTGCATCCAAATACGCTCAGAAGATTTATCATGCACAAAAGCAGTTGTCTTCCGCTTGTGTTTTCAGGAGTCTCGCTAATCCCTCAGTAAGGCTTCCTTTTCCGCTGGTGCTCACTAAACTGTATGGAAATACCTCATCCTCAAGCAATTACACTCCTGCAAGCTGGGCAAATACTCCGAGCAGATGTGCGTTTCCCTCTTTGCAAGGCATGAAGGCTAATCAGGAGCTAATCTGAATCTGACAGCCATTTTTCAGGGGCTCAGTTTGACTCACATGAAATAGGCTAATTGCACAGGTCATTTCAGCCGTCATTATCGGCTGACATGAAACCGCATGCTCCAGAATATCCTGCGGGAGGGACAAGTTGACAGCTTGAATGGACGTCTGATTTGGGACGTTGCTGCCGGTGTTGTAATTAGCAGGAAAAAAAAAAGAATATCCTGTCTCTCCACAGTGATGGGGAGAGTCGGAAGATCTGTGATAATCCTGTTTTCTGCATTTGCACGTTTAAATCTTAGAGGGCAAGAGAATCCACACTTGTTTTTCCCCTGAGCTAGAGGAATAGTTCTACGGATAGTTACATCTGTGAATACAGAATCTTTAGATGAGGGAGATTACTTTTGTTTGCAGAAGTGTTCTGTTTTGCAATTTGTCACCTGAGAAGTTTTGTCCATTTGACATTTGGAGTCATAATGCAATCTCAGAACTTTTGATTAATCTCTAAACATCACTTCAACTTCAATCCCTCATCCGGTCGAACTTTACTAATGAGCGGAATAAATAGTCTTGATTCAGATATCCTTGAAGGTATAGTATGTAGAATTGTATGACAATGTTTACATTCAAGTATATCTAAATTAATTAAAGGGGACATATTATGAAAACTTTTACAGTGTTGTTGAACATATATTTTTCGGTAACCTGAGTGTCTACAGACCCACAACATGTGAAATAAACCCATCCAGTCCTTTGTTTGTGGTCTGCATAAGTCTTACAACACAGAGCAAAATGCTCCGTTTCAAATTTGCTCCCCTTGTGATGTCACAGTGGGGTTCTGGTAAAAAAAAAAAAATCCCACTCCCCTCCCCTGATATCTCCACCCATGGACTCCACCCCCAGCTTAGAGCAAAACTTTTATGCAGGTCCGCCATTTTTATTCTCGATACAGAGGAGTGATGTCTACCAGGAAAACTCAGAGGGGGCTCGTTACATTTAAAGAGACACACACCAAAACGGAGCGTTCTGAGAGAGCTGGTTTATACAGGGTCACAAACCTCCTCTGGTGCTTGATTCATGTTATATTTTGACCAAAGCACAGCACAGATGTTTCATTTAGACCAATTTTAGACCAGTTCCTTTTCACCGTGGGGGAGGGAGGGAGTAGCAGAGAGAACTCCCATGATTCCCCGCTAGCCTTGATGTCATCTTTTGTTGTTGTTTTGATTGAGAACCCCATGGTGACGCATTTTACATACTGTGCATCTAACCTGCTGAACTGAATTACAGCTGGCATCACTGGCAGTCACTCAAGAGTTTACATCATCAGACGGAACAGGTCGCCCTCGACATTTTATGGGTGCGATGTTGATCGATGAGCTGGTTCTTTGCTTAAAACGAAAATAATTCAATAACCTTTTGACAGATTTCCATGAAGTTAAAACATGAAGTCCACTGACTCTGATGATCCCTGACTTTCCACATCGTGCCTCCTACAGATTGAAATTGATGGAGAGTCTGCCTTTATAGAGAAGCCCCAAGTGGACATGCATCCATTACATTTTTTCTTGCTTTGTTTTTCTCATGAAAACGAGTCATTTCCGGTTGTTTTCTCGAGAGCTTGACTTATTTATCCCGTATCACCAGACTTGCGAAAATGCAAAACAACCATCGAAATAGGCTTAACTCACCTCATTAGGGTTGACAACGGCAGCATGGCACGACCAGACTTGTGTTTTGTTTTCTAGATCTACAGATAATTATTCCATAATAATGAGAGATCTTAGAAGACAGCCTGAAATTACTGTTTAATACTGAGTAAATAAAATGTGTGGATGCTTGTCTGCTTAGGGCTTCTATACCTTTACATTGGTAGTCTATAGATATCCATATTTTTCAGTCATCGTCCACAGTTTGTCAGAGTTGACCCTTTTTTTAGATGAAGAAAATGTTG